TTATTTTTTTATTTTTTTTTAAATAAAATAAATAATATACTTCTCTTATTACCATTTTACAATTGTAATCTTGAAAATAATATTGACTTTAATTATATAGGCTTAAGTTTTATTGAAGATAATTTTTATTTTATGTAATAATAACTTTAAATTTATTTTTTATAAAAATATGCTAATAAAAATTGATACGTATACTACATTATTTAAGATAGTGTAACCTTTGTAACCATGATAATCTGACAAATATTAAAAATTTTTTTAATTTTTTTAATTTTTTTGACAAACAAATGTACGTTAAGAATTTTTTTTAACAAATAGTTTAAAAAAATTATCATGTATGAGGAACAAGAACAAATTGAGCAAGAAGAATTAATTGAGCAAGAAGAACAAATAGAACAAATAGAACAAAATGAACAAACAGAGCAAAATGAACAAAGAGAAATAATTCAAATAAATAAAAGAGGTAGATCAAAATCTATAGTATGGGGAACATATATTAAACAAGGAAAACAGATTTCAAAAAGTCATTATAATGCTACTTGTAATTTTTACAAAAAATATTGACATAAAGGGTCACCAGAAGAATGTGAAAATCATTTAGCAAACTTATGTCCAAAGGTACCATCAGAAATTCAAGATTTATTTTTAAAAAAAATAGTAAAAGATAATTTAAAAAAATCAAATAAAAAAAGAAAACTTAACAAAAAACAATCACAAACAAAAGTTAGTGATTTTATTGAAAGTACAAAATTAACTGATGAAAGAATTAAAGATATCAATCATGCACTAGTTAAAGCTTTTGTAGTATGTGGAATATCATGGAAAATAATTGAAAATCCTTTTTTTATTAAAATTTTTAAAACATTACGTCCAGCATATACACCTTCTTCAAAAAAATTCTTTCTGATAGATTATTAGCTCAAGAAATAGCTATTATAAATCAAAAAGTTATTACAGAAATAAATAATCAAGACAATTTAACTTTATGTAAGTTATTATATTATTTTTTTTATATATATATATATATAATAATAATAATAAATATGATCAATAAATATATATTTAGCTTGTGATAGTTAGACAAATCCATCAGGCGAATCTATTTGGAATTTTGTTATTCATACTTCAAATCATCATGAATATCTTTGGTCACTTAGAAATTTAA